GGATAATTGAGCTTGCACTCCAGGGTTTTCCGACCTAACTGAGGTGACAAAGTGAGAGATGGTGGAATTGATGAGGTGGTCGGGATACTTGAGGTTTGTAAACATCATCTTTAGATGATCACATTCAGATTTGAAGGACTCCCATGTGGACGACAGGCGGAATGCACGATTCAACATGGTCTTAAGTAGTGATTTCTTGTACCTTTTATCGACGTGGCTCTGGTGATGAAGCAATAGGCCTGTGTTTGTTGGTTTCCGATAAACACTAGTTTCTAGTTTACAGCCTTTCTTGAGCACTTCCATACCGACAAAAGGTAACTTGTTTCCAGATGCTAGCTCCATGGTGAAGTGTATGGACGGATGGCAGTTATTTAGCGTTGATAATAAATCTTCTGCCGCTGGTACACTTGTGACAATAGCAAACGTGTCATCCACGTACCTTCTGTAAAATTCAGGGAGCTTGTTGTCTTTATCTAGTTTCTCTTCGATGGAACAGAGAAATGCGTTAATAGATAAAGACAATAGATAGATTAATTAATAGATGCGTTAATAGATAAAGACAACAAGCTCCCTGAATTTTACAGAAGGTACGTGGATGACACGTTTGCTATTGTCACAAGTGTACCAGCGGCAGAAGATTTATTATACTTCACATCTCCGATTCGTTTCTGGTGAATTTTCTGCTAGTAGTTCTAATTTTCGGACACATTCAATTTTCTGCTACAACTTTTTCTCCAGTTGGCCTGGTGAGTACGAGAAACCATATCGAGGTAATATAGTCAGGATGTTTTGAATGAGCTGGTCGAGTTCTTCGCTGTCTGTGTTGGAGTATGTTAATCTCACACTCAACCCAAACTCGACCAAGCGTCTTTCAACAGTCCGAACACTGATACCTAGCAAAGTTGCGATATCGACAACAGTAAAACATCTACCGATCAGAAAATCAAGCTGATCTCTGGGAATTGAATATCTTGGACGTCCACTTGCCCACTAAAGGCAGTAGCAAGTGATGAAACATCAAAAATATCTTGACCTCCAATAACGCAATCCCGTGCACCCCCAATTAGGTTAACAATTTGTTCATCGATACCATTCAAATGAACAAGACTAGCCTGCGAACAGGCTCTCCGTTCAATCAGACGTGGGGACACAGGAAGGGGAGCCTGCACGCAAGTCTCAGAATATCGAATGTCTGCGTCCAAAATTTGGACGCAAAGCGCTGATTGGTTGAATTTAATTTTTCATGACGTATCTTAGTTTACGGTTCCGGTAGAGACAAAAAATTAAAATGGCGGAAAAAAGGGATGCTGTTCTTCGCGAGGCTTGCGACCATTTATCAAATAATTTGAAGTTTATGCTGCAATTGAAGCCCGAACAGCGTAATGCTGTGGACTATTTACTTAAGAAAGATGATGTGCTCGCGGTTCTTCCGACAGGATACGGCAAAAGTCTTACTTTCCAACTCTTTGCTGTTGCTGCGTCGATTGAAGATCATACCATCCTCTTCTCTCGTTTACGTGTACGGTTTGGCATAGCTGGAAAGCCTCTATTATGGTTGCAATCTTATTTATCGAATCGCACGCAATATGTCTCCGTCGATGGTGGTACTTTTACGAAACATGACCTTAAATGTGGAGTGCCACAAGAATCTGTCTTGGGACCCATTTTGTATTTGCTTTATACTTCACCGCTTTCAGATATCGTAGAGAAATTTAACCTGAGCTATCACTTTTATGCTGACGACTCACAGCTTTACTTGTCTTTCCAACCAACCGTACTGGGTGATAGGGATCTAGCGGTTTCTAGCATCGAGAGCTGTGTGAATGAAATCAATCATTGGATGATGGTTAATCGCCTTAAATTAAAAAAAGACAAAACTGAATTATTGGTGATCTCCGCTAAACATCTTCCAAGACCACTCCTTCACGAGATTTCAGTTGCTGGTGAGACTATCCATTCCGTGCAAAAGGCGAGGAATATCGGCACTATGTTTGATAGCCATTTTTGCTTTAACGATCATATTACTGACATTTGCAAATCTTCATTTTATCATTTGCGAAATATTAGCTATATTTCAAGAATATAGAAGAAGCTAGAGTTGCCCTCGGCTATTGCCTCGGGCAACTCTT